TTTTAAAAATATTTTTTATTTAAAAATATATTAAAATAATATTTATTTTATTTTTTAAATTTTATTTTTAATATTAATATATTAAATGATTGAAAAACACAAAAATAAAAAAACCACAACTAAAAAATTAAAGTTTTAAAAAATATGATTGAACTACAATATCTAACGATATTTACACATGAGTATGTATTATGGTATAAGATTTTTTTTGAAATATATTTTTTATTTATAAATATAATAAAATAATTTTTTTTATTTTTAATATCAACCAATCAAAATCATCAAAGAAAATTAAAAAAAATATTAAATTAATATTTTTTTTTAAATAAATGCACTCAAATATAGTCAAAAACATGATACCAAACAAATAACAAATTATCTTTATAATATCCAACTTATTAAGAAAAATTATAGAAAATACCACTCATGATTGTGACATTTTATCATATAGTCTTGGAAGAAAGAGGATTTTATTTTATTTAGATTCTATTTTTTTAATAAATTTGTTGGATTATACTCTTCATATTCACCATGATTCAATTTAGACCTCCGCTCGACCCAATTGTCTCTAATTATACCCAACTTTCTACAACATCAAGCAAGAACTTATCAAATAATTAAGAAGCTTGCTGCGTATATCACATTACGGCAATCCAAGAATTTGTAAAACTGTGTGAATGGAGTTATTGTAACTTGCAATTTTTTTCAAAATGCTTATAGTCTCGGGTAGTCGAAACTTCTAGCCAAAGTCAAAGTATTAATTACTGCACCAAAATTGGACCTAGAAGCAACCTCAATTCCCAATTTTTATAGAGTATTTTTTATATATATAAATTTATTTTATTTTTAAAATTTTATTTTTAATAACACTATTATCCAAAAAAATAATATATATATGTATGTATAATTTAAAATAATAAAAAATATTTTTCGTAAAAAAACTATGATATGGCCCAATGCACATGTATTATATGTTTTTTTAATTAATTTAGATGTTTGAATCAATTTACATATATTTTGATTAATTTTGTAGATATTAAAATTAAAAATTATATAAATTTATAATAATATTAAAATTTATAATTTTTAAAAATTAAAATTAAAATTTGATATAATAAATTGTGCCAATTAAAATTACATGCATTAGATGTTGGATTCGTGTGCTTGATATAATAGAACTGATGTTGTAGTTTTTAGAGCATGTGCATTTGAATAAAAAAAAAATCGTTCTGTTGAAAATCCACTAAAATCCAATTGTCATATCTAGTTATATATATATGTGTGTGTGTAAAAGATTATAAAAGCAGTTAAAATTTTAAAAAAAATTATTTAAAAATATATTATAATAATATTTTTTATTTTTTAAAATTAACATATCAAATTAATTTAAATCACACGTAGCCAAACATGCTCTTCATCTATCAGATGCAGGGTTTCGACGGTAAAAATCTGCCAGGGAATTTGAAGGGCAGCTGCTTCCAGAGATGTTTTCGGCGTCTTAATCAGCGTCAAGAAATATCTCATATATCAGACATATGAGATGGCAACTTCATAAGCCATTTGCAGCCTGGAGTTTCTTGGAAACAGCCTCTCGATGGATCCGAAGCTTCTTATTCCATTTTCACTTCCCGTCACTGCATTGTATTTATTAATGGTCATGAAAAGAAAATTCAACCATGGCTATTTTGTTTTTTAATTTATTTAAAAAAAATTAAAACAAAATATGAAAACTTGTTTGTTTTCGTTTTGTTTTTTTTTTAATATAAAATCGACTACAAGTTTTGAAGCTATTAAAAGAAAAAATGGTTTTCAAAAGTTCTTAAAACTAGTTTTCTACGCTATAGTAATATATTTTGGAGGTCATTTGGTTAAATAATAAAATAGGCATGGATCATGCCTGGGATCGGTCGAGGACAAGGTTCGAGGAGGCCAGGGAACCCGAGAGTCAGTCCAGGACCTAGCTAGCCTGAAGTGCTTAGAGTTTAGATTAGGTCTGTTGGTGGGTTTGGACGAGATAGTGCCAGGTCCGGGGCGCCTAGAGAGCTGAGGTTAGGTACGAGGCTTTAAGGTGTCGAGGTTAGGCCTAGCCTGTTTGGCTACGCAATTGTTTTTAAATTTCTTTTAAATACTTTTATATTATTTTATTATATTTTTAAAAATAAAAAATATTATTTTAATACATTTTTATTATAACTACATCCTGCTTTTTCGTAAAAAATATTTAAATAATAACAAACTATATACTAGTATGAGATATATTTATTAATTATATTTTATGAAATAAAAATTATTTTCATTTGAAAAAATCTCGAATACAAGATAAAGATTACTGAACATCTTATTCGTGGACATGCATAGAAAAATTCTTAAATATCTTAAAATATCTCATTTATAGTTTTATTGAAGGTTCTCGTAAACCGTAAACCGGATCTGGTTTAAGCCTTGACCATCAAAAATAGATTATTTAGCGTTTGAAGCTACATTCATGAACGTCACTTACGAAGAAGATAGTTGGATAAATATTTGCCCATGTATCGCAGAAGAGCTCCTCACAGACAACATATGGAGCTGGAACAGAGAGACATCAGCTAGCTAGGACCGGTAGACACCTGGGAAGAAAACGAGACCATCTAGATAAACAAGAAGGCCTAAAATGCAACAGCAGCGTCTCTTTTCTAGAAGTTCTGCTCGTGACGTGGCTGCCAGATCTTTGTTTTATAATTCTTGCAGCCCTGGCAGGCAGGTCTCTTGCGTTGATCGTGGCCTCACGTTAACCTGTCCCAAGTCTTTTTCTTTCTGCTACGGGTCATCACTTTCTATTTAAGTCTAATCTCGTGCTCTTGGCCGGCTGCTCACCTAGGTGTCAGCCTCTTTTTTTATTATTATTAGTTACAATCCGACTCATCGAGCTCCACAAAGCCCCAAAAATAATAGTCCAACTGCGTAGTGACATATGGGTGAATTAAGGGGTTTTCTTTTTTATTTTTAGGTGTTGAAATTGTATTCGAAAAAAATTAATTTTTTTATTTTTTAAATTTATGTTAATATACTGATATCAAAAATTATTTTAATATAGTTCTAAATAAAAAAATATTTTAATAAGATAATTATTATCATTCTCTTAAATATCATGTTCATCAATATTAAATAAAACTAGTGGTTATTATATGTTTTTATAGCTAATACTATCTGAATTTGTGTAATTTTATAATCTATCTTCATCTTATATTTTATGTTTCTTGTCTTACTCCTCAGCTATAACACTGTCTGAATTTGTGGAATTTTCTAATCTATCTTTACCTTATTCTATAATTTATTTTTCTTGTTTTTCTTTATGTTACAGGCTGCCATCTTGTACTAGTAATCATTTTTTAAAGTGTTTTTATTAAAAATATACTAAAATAATATATTTTAAAAAATTACTGTTAACATTAATATATCGATTAAAAATATAAAATAAAAATTAAATATAAAATTAATTTTTTTAAATAAAATATATAACCACGAGAATAAACACTACCTACCAGAAGCTAAAGTCAAACCCCACGAAGTCAAGTAAACGCAAAAGCTAATATATAAACAAGGTTACAGGAACAGAAAGTTAAAAGACACAAAGCTCAAGTGGACCTCATATACCACTACATTTCTGAGTGGCTCGCACATCACACTATCATATCCTTAATCTCATAGAATCTTAATTAATTATTTCGATATTTTATTATAAAATTATAGCAGTTGGGTGCCATCTGTCTTGTCTTGTGGCACATCCGATTTGGAAGGACCTGATCGCAGTGTTTGGAAAGTAGAATTAATTAAGGACTGTTCATAAGCGGGAGTGAATTGGTATATTCTCGTATCATATAATAAGGTAAGCTTTATTTATTTTTTTTATCATTGAATCTCTAATTTTACCCATATAAAATAACTGAGTTTTTAATTTATTATAATATTATTTTTTCCATCTAAATTAACTAAATGAGTCATACACATAACCTAATGTTACATTAATATAGCCCCAAAATCTATGCAGAAATTAACTGAATTATCCTTATTACATTAAAGCACGTGACATACATACCATTAAAGATTATTTTTAAAAAATCACACGTGAACACAAACTCCCTCGCCTTCTCTCTCACTTCAGTAACCCCCCTTCTTTTGCAATGATGTTGTTATTTTTCCTATAGTATTACATTAAGAATAATAGGTTGCAAGTACAAAATTAACTCATTTAAAAATATAAAAACATATTAATACCGTGCACATAATAATAAGATTTGTTTTTCATGAGAAGTTTCTAACCTGGATTTTGCTCGCATTATTTTCTTTTTTTAAAAAAAAAATGATTCTCATTAGTGAGAAACCATGTGATTTGCAACGAAATGATTTAGGCACAAAAAGTTGCCTGCTGGAGTCACGTGAGGGTAAAAGCTCCAATCTAGAAGGCCATTTATCAAGAAGTGGACTGGCCAGTTGTAAGTTAGGTATGCAGCACAGGCTAGGTGAGGTCTCGCATGCCACATAGTAGTTAGCAACCTTGCAGTGCAAGGCAAGCACGAGGGAACATGAAGGACAGATCTGAGTTGCAATTTCTCTATCCTTAGCGTGACACATCGGTATAC